AAAAATTCTTTCACCAATAGAATGCTACATTCTTCCAATTTGACATAGGCTTGGTAAAATTTGAACAATGTAACCGAAGGTGTAGAAAAATGAGTCTTAAAATGTCTTTCGTCGACTGCGCTGCCGAAACTATTAGCGATAGAACAAAATAATGTACAACGATATTGAAGAACATCATAATGTCTACAAAAAACTCTGCGGTAGCATATGTCCAACTATTGTAGTTATGTCACTACAACAATCCAAATTTCCAAAAATAAATAATTGTCTACCCCGTGCAAAGCCGGGACGGGCTGCTAGTTAATTATATTCTGACAGTTTGAGCATTTGTGTGGCCTATCCAAATGTTCGTTTGGTTGGTATTGTTCGTCGGATCATTCAGCAACATCTGTCTTGAGCTGATTGGAAACTGACAGATGCGTGCTGCCATCAAACCTGCAGTGCTAGCCAAATGCCATTTAGCGCTTGTCTACATGTAGAATAGAAAACCAAATTATATGGAATTGACGTAAATTTTGACACTTGTCAGTGTCATCCCCATACATTTTGATATCTACTCCAGGTCCGCTTAAACTGTTGTGGATCTTTCCTCAAAAGACCACTACGGAATCAACTTGCACGGTTTTCGCATATAATACTCCTCCTCTGAGTTTGTTTCGGCGTTTCTTTTAAGAGTAGTCAGTTAGGAAAAGCCGGCCCTTGTGTAGTTAATTTAAAGATTCGTCAAAGGGTAACCATTTGCAGAAATAAATATCATTTCATTTAAATTATTATGTTTTCGGCTTACTCACGTAGTAATTTGACGAGGAACTCGACTAGTTTCAAGCTATGCTAGAGGCTCATATTCATGAGCAGCATTTCATGAAAACATTCATCTATTTAGTATGTCTCACGAAAGTTACAATACAATCATTTCATTTGTATTTTAGACACCGTGGCAGCGCTACCAGTCGCGTCACCATGGTGTCCAAAAGAAAAGAAATCCTTACTTATATTATAAATCGGAAAGTGAGTTTGTTTGTTTGTTCCCCTTTCACGCCGTAACTACTAAACCGAATGCTTTGAATGTAAAGATGTAAAGTTAGAAGTCCGGATTAAATAATAGGGTACTTTTTATCCCGGAAAAATTTGATATTCTCGAGGGATAACGAAATTAGCGCCATCTATACCAAATAGATGGCGCTGTGTGTATTGGTATATGTCACATATGCTACTTTTTATTTTTTTGTGACGCGAACGAAGCCGCGTGTAAAAGCTAGTAAGAAATAAAGAAAAACCCATTTCACGTCACGACACACACGGAGACAAGAATATACACACAAAAAACCCATAGCGCGTCGCTGCGCAAAAATCCGGAGCTCAGCTTAATACTGTGGCGCAAAGCGTGTATATTAGCTACCAAACTAGACAATATACAGACACCAATGGGGTAGACGACTAATTTTTATTTTAATGTCCGTCTGATAGATTATTTAAAAACATTAGACACGTATTTTTTATTTTCTCACAGAAACGAATAGTTTCGAAGATATATTGATTTGAAATGTCACGTGACGTCACTTCTCAGTACATTTTATACTAAGGAATGACGTTTTAGCCCCCACACCTAAACTTTGATTCGTTTTATCTAAGTATTGTTTTATTATACGACAAAATAAAAAAATACGTGTCTAATATTTTTTCATTACCTAACTTACAGACTAATTATATTTTTAATTTTCATACCCTGTCATCATCCCCATTAGGCTATCCTGTAAGATGGCAATTTGAACTATCGAAGCGAGCTCGATCGCGGTCCACCTAGTCATTGGTTGTGTGAATAATCTGGACCAATAACGGGCGAGAATACGATCGTGTTCATTTCAAGAGTTCAATTTGACATCGTACAAAGCCTAGCAGATGTGGCCACACACCGGCCACCAGCACGGGCCTGCAGACTGTGAGCATGGGTAGCTCGCAGTCCGACCAGGGTGCTTACTCTTGAAACCAATCTCAATGTCAATGCAATTGCAATCCATTTGCAATCCATTTCCAATTGCAATCCAATGAAAACTCAATAATTATTCAATGTCAATACTATACAACCGCTATTGTAGCTGTTAAAATAGCATTCAGAGTACGGAATATAAAACCAAACTCAATACCATTTAGTTCATTAAATTGGATTCAAGAGTAAGCCCACTGGCGGCTTACTCTTGAATCCAATTCCGATCGATCGACATTGGTATTGTAAAATTTCGTACTCTTGAGTTGCAACACCAGCGCCAATTGCATTCGTATTGCGTGGATATTAAATTAACTAAATGGTGGAGTTTGGCTTTATATTCCGTACTCTGAATGCTATTTCAACAGCTATGAAAGGGGTTGTATAGTGTTGACATTGAATAATCATTGATATTTTATTGGATTGAAATTGTATTGACATTGTGATTGGTTTCAAGAGTAAGCTTCCAGAACCAGACCCGAGCGATCGCGATTCACGAGACGAGCGTTCCACGCGCGCCTCATACCACCACGTATGGGGCCCAATAGGGCTGATGCCGATACGGAGCCGCGGAGGACTTAACGGGTTGCCGGGGCTCCGGCTCAAAGTGCAGGAGAAGGAACGGGGTGGTTTAAAGGCTGTAAGAGTCTGACACTCCCTCCCGCCTCACCCAGGCGAGGAGCAGCCATTCGATGATTTTCCACCCTTTAAAAACAAGCCATTGGTTTTCTAAAGCCGATTGAGTTACAAAAGATATGGCTTCGTTACAAAGCATACAATTGAGTATACCAATAGCTACTGTCTCTGTACTGAATCTCAGTTAAGTGTGGGAGAGCCATGCTTCGGCACGAATGGGCCGGCTCGACCGGAGTGATACCACGGCCGAGCAGAAACCCGACGTGAAACAACGGTCGCGATGTGTTTCGTAGCGTGTTAACAGAAGCCCAATTAAGTACATCACCAATCTCCGCAATCCTCAACAATCCTCAAATTTCTAATCCCTAAAAGGCCGGTAACGCACTTGTAACGCCATTGATGTTCCGTGTGTCCATGGGCGACGCCGATTGCTTACCATCAGGTGATCCGTCGGCTCGTATAGTCATAAAAAAATCTACATACTAAACACCTTGGTTAAATTTCTAATAGATACGATTAGATACCTAATAGAATTACGAAAGCGATGAGGAAAATTTTTTTTTTGATGCCTTAAGATAGCATTTTTATTATTTTTTTAAGGTGTAAATATTTTATTTCATAGTTATTTATATTTAAACTGTCAAACACCAAACACCAAGCGGTCACCGGTGACCGCGACCTATTGTTCTTTAATTGTGTCTATAAAACCGGTACTCGACGAGTTAAATAAAATTAATATTAACTATTACTAAATGAAAATATATAAGGTGCTCTATTCAACCGTCCGGGGTACGAAATTTCTTCACAATTGTAATCTGTAAACATAACACTACCTTCCATTAAAGCCGTGGCTGATAATTACCTCGTGTGTTCATAAGTTTTGAGACAAATTAAAAGTTGCATATCTTTTTAAATAATAAACTTATATTTATAAAAACAATAACAAACATTAAGTAGATAGTAAGTAAAAATTAAATATAATTATTATTCAAAATGACCATCCCTGTTTATAATACATGCCCTTAGACGATTTGGCTAGTCATCAATGGCGGCACGAATCTTTTCCAGAGGAATTCGCTTCGCTTCTCGGACAAGAGCTCGCTTAAGTGACTCCAAGTTTGGGTGGGACTTTCGGCAGGCTCTGAGCTCTAATTCGGTCCATAGAGAATAATCCAGCGGGTTGAGGTCGGGGCTGGAGGAGGGCCATTCGTTCGCCGCAATGAAGGCCGGCACATTTTCCTTCAGCCAAGCTTGGGTGGTTTTAGCCTTATGGGATGGCGCCGAGTCTTGCTGGAAAACCCAATACTTGTTATGGAATAGGGTATTAGACAGGGGATAATTTTTGGCTTTCACCTTGACGCCTTGTTGGCAGAAATGAAGCTGAGTGACACCTTCGTACGAAACTCCCCACCATACCATGACACTAGCCGGATGATGAGTACGCGAGACATTCCGTGCTGAAGGTGGGACATCCTTGCTACTTTTGGCATACACTTTATTGTTTTGTCGATTGAACTTTTCTTCGACGGTAAAGATTTTCTCGTCGGTGAAGAGTATCTTCCTCGCATCGTGTCTCCTAAGCAGTATTGGACAACGTTCGCGTCGCAATTGACGAAGGCGATCGTTTAAAAAGTGTACTTTTCTACGGCTATACGCCTTAAACTTGAGATCATATTTCAGTATTCTGTTGACTGAAACGCGCGAAATATTGGTCTGCAGAGCGAGTTTCTTCTGAGTGCGACATGGATTTCGGCGAAGTCGCTCTCGGATGATTTTAATGTTCGCAGGCGTCCTCACAGAGCGTGGACGACCACTTCATTGCCGATCATGTAAAGAACTTGTCTCCTGGTATCGTTTAATAGTGTAATACACGAAGTTACGGCTCACACCAAAACTTTTCAGTTCTCGGAAAATGTCCATAGGTTTTCTTCCCACCTTAAATAATGAAATGACGGTCGCACGTAATTCTTTTGTTCCCTCCATTACGAGAAAATTTAAATGAAATAATCCGAAATCATAGATATAAAAAGTTAACATTACAAATTCAAAATTAGAAAAAGAAATATACAGCAGCCAGTAATTTTTATTTTATTTTTATAAGCAAAAAGTTTGTCTCAAAACTTATGAACACACGAGGTATAGAGCACCTTATATACAACTTAAAATATAAATAACTGTAAACTAAAATATTAAACACCTTAAAAAAATATAATAATAAAAATGAAATCTTAAGGTATCAAAAAAAAAAATTCCTCGTCGCTATCGTATCACTATTTTAATTTGTATACTGTCATTTAGTAATAGTTAATAAATAATACAATGCACGTTTAATTTCTAATTAATTATTTTAAATCTTATTTCAGCTGTTCAAATAAGTATCATGTGTAAATTAAAGATAATGTCGTGTTTATTGATTATAATTATTACTAGTAAGTATTTTTCTTTTTTTATACAACGACAATGTTTAATACAAGGATACATTTGGCTACAAATTGGGTATTTTCCTAAAATCGCGGGTTACTCACGTGAATATTCATATATTCTTATTTAAAAAAACATTGCCCCACACTAGGATTTTCTCCTGTGTCGTGGGTGCGTTTACAAACAAACAAGTTCACATACACACGACACACAGACCCGAAACAACAGTCTGTGGATCATACAAAGAGTTGTTCCGTGCGGGAATCGAAACCGCGATACGTTGAATATACTGAGAAAAGCTCTACTAGTTTCGAACCACAGAGGGGTTCTTCCTCATGAGCAGCGTGCGTGACTTTGTGTCGAACCCGGAATCGAACCCACTACCCGCGCCGCTGGTGAACATACCGTGCGCTTTAACATCATCCAACGCGCCGCCGAAGTTGGAAGCAAACGCTCGTAGTGTCCGACAGAGGGCGCGTTGGGTTCGCAGCGCAAGTAGCAACACCGAGGCGAGCGCCAACGCCAGCCAGTGAGCTGCGCGACGTCGCTGCGACCGCGCACGCTGCTCATGAGGAAGAACCCCTCTGTGGTCCGAAACTAGTAGAGCTTTTCTCGGTACATTCAAGTGAGTAACCCGCGATTTTAGTTAATTTAGTATGCTCTCACGATAGTGATTATAAAAATAAAAAAAAAACATTTTAGTATGCGCCGTATCTGCTCAAAGTGCGATTAACTACCATGACGGCGATGATGTAATGGGGAGAAGGGACAAGGAGAAGATGATACTATTGTCAGAAGATTTGCTCAAAGAAGCTCTATTGCGGATGAGACAGCTTTACGAAATAAAAATAGAACACAAAGGTTATACCCCTTTCCACATCGGCTTGATAATAGGTAATAGCATCCATCATCTATCTTCATCATCACATAACGATAGGATAGGCAGAGGTGTAAATATTACGGCACTTAAGCTGTCAAACACCGAGCGGTCACCGGTGACCGCAACCTATTGTTCTTTAATTAATTGTGTCTATAATGACGGTACTCAAAGGGACTGTCAAACACCGCGAGGACACCGGTGACCGCAACCTATTGTTCTTTAATTGTGTCTATAATGACGGTACTCAACGAGTTAATTAAGTAGTATCCAGGGTATCAAAATTAAAAATCTAATTAGTCCGTCAGTTAGATAATGAAAAAATATTAGACACGTATTTTTTTATTTTCTCGTATTAAGTTGCAATTAGATAAAATGGCGCTAAGTTTAGGAGTGGGAGGTGGTTACGTCATAACGTGCTGCAAAATGTGACACGCTGTGACGTCACACGATATTTCAAATTAACTCGTTGAGTACCGTCATTATAGACACAATTAAAGAACAATAGGTTGTGGTCGGTGTTTGACAGCTTAATACATAGTCGAAAGTATTTGATTTTGTGAGAAAAGAAAAAATACATGTCTAAAGTTTTAAATTAATGTACCAGACGGACATTAAAATAAAATTTAGGAAACTACCCTATTCTGTTCACTGTACAATGTAACACCCACTTCTCACTTTTTATGTTATGAGTCCCATGTAATAGGGGGTGAGTCTATTGCCATATACCGGGCACAATTCCAGACTCCGTGCTACTACTGAGAATTTTTATAAAACCTAGTAATACAATTAGTTTAGTATGCCCCACGATGTATGTCTTAATTCTTATAATCTTGGAAGCAAAAAAAAAGGCACAGAACAAATAAAATGAAACAGGAAAAAGAGTCTATACTTATTTTTATAACATAAGCCGTTAAACAAGTAGACGGATCACTAGATGGTAAGCAATCGGCGCCGCCCATGGACACTCGAAACACCAAGGCGTTACCGGCCTTTTGGGAATGTGAGGATTGTGGAGGATCGGTTGTTTCACGTCGGTTTTCTGCTCGGCCGTGGTATCACTCCGGTCGAGCCAGCCCATTCGTGCCGAAGCATGGCTCTCCCAGCATAGGTAGCTCGCCGCCCGACCAGAACCAGACCCGAGCGTACGGCTCGTCGCGTCCCGCACGCGCCTCAAAGAGCCATCAGACCACCACGGATGGGGCCCAATAGGGCTGATGCCGATACGAAGCCGCGGAGAACTTAACGGGTTACCGGGGCTCCGGCTCGAAGTGCAGGAGAAGGAACGGGGTGGTTTTTAGTCAGTAAGAGTCTGACACTACTCCCGCCTCACCCAGGCGGCAGGAGTCATTCGATGATTTTCCCTCCTTAATGGTCCATGGGCGATGCCGATTGCTTACCATCAGGTGATTCGTCTGCTCGTTTACCGGCTTATGCTATAAAAAAAACTAGTGGCAACACGCCACCTCTCTGGTCCTCTTCCCCTGCTTCCCCGCCACTGACCGCTCGACGCTTGCGTGAACTTACAGAACAACGAGTCCTGCGCCGGAGTCGTGGCGCACGCGCTCCGTATTTGTACCGCAAAATACTTGAGTATCCCATTGTATTATTGTGCAACTTTAATATAATCTTTTTTAATTCTTCTGTGAGTGTGTATGTCACTGAACTTCTCTCAAACCACTGGACCGATTTTGATGAAATTTTTGTCTGTGTTCAAGGGGATCTGGGAGTCGCGGAGAATCTAACGGGTAACCGGGGCTCTGGCTCGACTTGCAGGAGAAGGAACGTGGTGGTTTTTAGTCAGTAGGAGTCTGACACTCATTCGATGATTTTCCCCCCTTAAAAAACGGGGATCTGGGAATGGTTTAGATTCACAAATCAACCCGACAGATGGCGCTGCAGTCGATGTTTAGGTTATTTATCCTAAACAGCTAAACTAATTTGAATGAATTTTTGTTTATACATTCAAGTGGATATGCAGGACAACGTCTGTTGGGTCCGCTAGTGTTTATAATATATAGTTTAAAGATTATTCCAGTTTACAGTCATTCGTGTGTCGAACCTTATTTCACGCCCCTGAGAACCCACTAAGACAATATCTCAGTATATTAAACTAATTATTGAATGACTGCCTCGTTGGCCGAGTGGTCGCAAGTGCGACTGCCGGGCAAGGGGTCTCAGGTTCGATTCCCGGGTCGGGCAAAGTATTACTGGGTTTTTAAAAATTCTCAATAGTAGCACGGAGTCTGGAATTGTGCCCGGTATATGGCAATAGGCTCACCCCCTATTACATGGGACTCATAACATAAATAGTGAAAAGTGGGTGTTACATTGTACAGTGGCATAATGTGCACCTCTGCCTACTCCTTCGGGGATAAAAGGCGTGATGTTATGTTATGTATGTTATTGAATGACAGGTAAAGTTCGTGAGAAATTTCTGTACATGCTGGACTTATACGAGGAGCTACTGACTAAGAGACATAAACGATCGGAGTTGTACCCGCCCGCGGATAAGGAATTGAAGCCAATCCACTACATCATCACCTTAGAACTCGTCCATTACTTAGAACTTGAGATCGAAAATCTTCTCCATGTGCTCGAAGAACAAGCGTTGCCAGGTGCAGTATTATTTGTACTAACTTGTGTCGCCACATAAGTATTGTTTCCTTGTACATATTATACGATAAATCAAATCATATTAATATTATAAACTAGCTTCTGCCAGCGGCTTCGCCCGCGATCCCAGGGGTAAAATGCCTATGTATCACTTCAGACCATAATCTACCTCTGTTCCGAATTTCATTCCGGTCCCTTCAATCGTTTTAATATGACTGAGTAACAAACATACACATAAACTCACATATTTTCATTTATAATATCGAGTCAAGCTAATTTCAACCATTGGCCTTTCAGTTACAGCGTAAAGTCTATGAGTATTGTAAACGTTAGAGTAGAAAAATACAATCAGAAATCACCGAATTGCTCAGCTATCGGGAGTTTCACGTGTTATTGTGAGTCAACCATAAAAGATAGACATATGCTGTCGAGGAATATTTTTTATATAATTTTAAGGATAATATTTCCGTCATACATGATTTCTATGTAGCTTTAACCTATAAGCCTGCACACGTGACGGAAGCTTAAAAAATGGAGTAACTTCTCCCGTTTTTCCAATATTTCCCTTTACTGCTCTGCTCCTATTGATCGTAGCGCAATGAAAAGTATACTATAACCTGCCCAGGAGTATGAAGAATAATTGTGCCAAATTTCGTTACAATCCGTCGAGTAGTTTTTGTTTCCATAACGAACATACAGACAGACAGACAGACAGACAAAAATTTTACTGATTGCATTTTTGGCATCAGTAGCGATCTCTAACCACCCCTTGATAGTTATTTTTTAAATATATTTTATGTACAGAATTGACCTCTCTACAGATTTATTATAAGTATATATAGATTTAACCCATTCCTCTTCAAGTCAAGTCAAAATCATTTATTTCAATTAGACCAGGAAGGCACTTTTGAACGTCAACAACGTGAAATAGACTATCTAAATAATACAGGGAGAAGGAAATCACCTCACAAGAGGACGGCTCCTCCCCGTCAGTATAAACTTTGACCCTCAGAGTCACTCTTAAGTACTTAGTAACCCCTGGTAGAGGACCAAATGGACTGTAATAATACGTTAAACCCAGTAGGTACTTCTTATAATTGTTATGTATGAAATTGTGTGAAAAGAATTCGGTAATATGCTACAAAAGCTCCCTCCCCGAACAAAATGTGCCAAAACATATCAAATGCACTTTTTTATGGCATAAGCCGGTAAACGAGCAGACGGATCACCTGATGGTAAGCTATCGGCGTCACCTGGAACACCAGAGGCGTTAAAAGTGCGTTACCGGCCTTTTAGGGATTGAGAATTTGAGGGTCATTGGGGATTCAGGGATTGGGGAGATTGGTGAAGGGGAGGGCAATTGGGCCTCCGGTAACCTCACTCACACGACGAAACACAACGCAAGCGTTGCTTCACGTCGGTTTTCCGTGAGGCCGTGGTAACACTCCGGTCGAGCCGGCCCATTCGTGCCGAAGCATGGCTCTCCCATACTTGTAAAGTTTCAATTTTTTAAAGGTTAATGTTATACAAGGTGTTTCATTTTCTAGGAGGTAACTCGGCTATCGATTCTGAGTCCGAATCAATAAAAAAAATTGTAAGAAAATATTTTTCATTTTTCTGTAAATTACGGAAATCCGTAAGTGCGAACTTCACGCCGCCGTCTTGTAACTAGTTTTATAACGCGGCTAAACGCACACAAACTCAAACACGTAATTGATATTCTTCCTAATTTTATGGAATTAGGAATAAGAAACATTGCTGTCGCTTATTCTGAAATAATGTCGAAACGATTTATTATAGCCGTATTTTTCACTATTAGCCCGAAACTTTCTCTTACATAGAACCTTTATGACTTCTGCGACATGCCCCCGAGAAATGACACGGCTTTAAAACTACACCTTGTATTAATTTAACTAGGGAAATAAACGTATATTCTGTTTTATTCAAATCAAATTATTTATTCGCAAAAGTACACATCAAACCGTTAAACAAAACATGTTGTTTAATAGGGTAGACGACTAATTTTTATTTTAATGCCCGTCTGATAGATTATTTAAAAACATTAGACACGTATTTTTTATTTTCTCACAGAAACGAATAGTTTCGAAGATATATTGATTTGAAATGTCGCGTGACGTCACTTCTCAGTACATTTTATACTAAGAAATGACGTTTTAGCCCCCACTCCTAAACTTTGATTCGTTTTATCTAAGTATTGTTTTATTATACGACAAAATAAAAAAATACGTGTCTAATATTTTTTCATTACCTAACTTACGGACTAATTATATTTTTAATTTTCATACCCTGTCATCATCCCCATTTAAACAAAACACTTTTTGTGTGTTTCAGGTCTGGCCACAGCAAACCTTCAGATCGGGGGACCTCCTGACATGAGGCAGAAGGCAGCAGGTCAGTCAACACTAGGGTTGCCACCCGTACTTTATAATAAAGCATTGTACGTTATTTGTCGCGGAGAACCTAACGGGTAACCGGGGCTCCGGCTCGACGTGCAGGAGAAGGAACGGGGTGGTTTTTAGTCAGTAAGAGTCTGACACTCCCTCCCGCCTCACCCAGGCGGGAGCTGTCATTCGATGATTTTGCCCCCGTAAAAAAAAAAATTGTACGTTATTTAAGGTAATCGTACTCTATACTTTATAAGAATAATAAAGTACAAGAAAATACATTATTTTTCAAACTTCATTTCTTTTAAAGTCGTATGTATTTTTCGGTAAACTTATCGATTCGATATCGATATATGTTGAATCGATTTTGCCACTCGCCAGCGTCACTTAGACAATTTCTAGTAAAGATTCCGTACTCTGAATGCTATTGTAACAGCTACGATTGTGGTTGTATAGTGTTGACATTGAATAATTATTGAGATTTTATTGGATTGAAATTGCATTGACATTGAGACTGGTTTCAAGAGTAAGAACCCTGGAAGCAGCAACTCCCTCGTTGGCCGAGTGGTCGCAAGTGCAACTGCCGAGCAAGGGGTTCTCAGATTCTCGGGTCCGGCAAAGTATTACTGGGTTTTTAAAAAAAATCAGTAGTAGCACGGAGGCTGGAAATGTGCCCGGTATATGGCAATAGATAATTTTAAGAAATAAGCACGCTGTTTGACGCTAAAAACCGTGACGTCACAATACAGTCTCGTACAAAATTCATAGAAAGGTTTTTGACGATTCGAAAAAATTATGAATTTGGCAAGTACCCAATTTGTAATTTAACTATTGATCGCCAACCCGCATTGAGTATCCGAGCGTACGGCGCGTCGCGATCCGCGCGCGCCTCAAAGAGCCATCAGACCACCACAGATGGGACCCAATAGGGCCGATGCCGATTCGGAGTCGCGGAGAACCGTGCAGGAGAAGGAACGGGGTGGTTTTTAGTCAGTAAGCATCCGACGCTCCGTCCCGCCACACCCAGGCGGGAGCAGTCATTCGATGATTTTCCACCCTTAAATGAAAACCCGTATTGAGTAAGCGTGGTGATTGATGCTCAAACCTTCTCCGTGTGAGACGAACTCGCTTAGTAGCGGAAACTTGATAATGAGTGAATGACTTTACAGTAGTGGCAACCGGCTGCCACGCAACGTGCATCGGGTTCGATTCCCGCACAGAGCAACTCTTTATGTGATCCACAAATCGTTGTTTCTTGTCCGGGCGTCATGTGTATGTGAACTTGTATGTTATTAAACCCATTCACGACACAGGAGACAATGCAATAGAATTTTTTTTAAGGGGGAAAATCATCGAATGACTGCTCCCGCCTGTATGAGGCGGGAGTGAGTGTTAGACTCTTACTGACTAAAAACCCGTTCCTTCTCCTGCACTTCGAGCCGGAGCCCCGGTAACCCGTTAGGTTCTCCGCGACAGACAATCCTAGTATGGGGTAACGTTAAAATTATTGTGTTAATTTCACAGAGGAGGCTGCAAAACAGAAGAAGGATTTGAAAAAAAGGAAGCAGGCACAGAAGAATTCGTTACGACGATCTGTGAAAGAAGAAAAGGCTAAGAGTATTCTAAGACAAAAGTACCTGATGGTGAAACTCGGAATGCCATCGAATATGACGACAACAAGAAAGCGGTTCTTACACCAATGGCCTGTGGAGGCAACGTGGAATTTGGAAAAATATAATTACTATTAACCAGTTCACTGTTTTTGTCTACTCACTTACATAGTTAACCCTTTTTTTTAGGGGGGAAAATCATCGAATGACTGCTCCCGCCTGGGTGAGGCGGGAGGGAGTGTCAGACTCTTACTGACTAAAAACCACCCCGTTCCTTCTCCTGCACGTCGAGCCGGAGCCCCGGTTACCCGTTAGGTTCTCCACGACACATAGTTAACCCTTTGAGTACCGTCATTATAGACACAATTAATTCTCGAAGAGCTTTTTCTCGTCGGGTGGCACGTGCGATGCGAATAGTGTCTACAAATTTACGTCTAGTGTTTCATGTGCGTATTTCCATAAATTTATTTTAACCAATAAAATTATTATTAAATAATTTAACACATTAAATTTTATTCCGACCGATGCATATTGATATTGTGTCGTACTCTCGAGTTGCAACACTAGCGTCCATTGCATCCGTATTGCGTGGATATTGAATGAAATAGTCTGGAGTTTAGTTTTATAAACCAGAGGTCAATCATACCTACAGAGCGCCCCATGTAAGTCAAGGTTTCTCATCTCTCTCTCAAAAGGAGGCTGGTGAGCGGGATCGCGAGAGGGTCGATCCTACTTGTAGAAGGTCCCGAGGAGATAACCACCTTGACGCCTAATACGCCGAAATTCCGCCTGCATCAAGTGCCTACATAAGAATGAAAAATCTTAATACCAACCCTGTAACTTCAGGGGTAGCTGTTTTAAAGTTCAAAGCAGAGCCGTATCTTGGGGCCTTTAGGGCCTTAGACCTCTAGGAGCATAGAGTGGGGACTCTAGGTGCCCACCGTATGGTCTCAGGGAAGACGGTGGTACAGTGAGCGAGGCTTAAAAGAGACGCCCGTAACTCTTTTTTTTTAAGGGTGGATAATCATCGAATGACTGCTCCCGCCTGGGTGAGGCGGGAGGGAGTGTCGGACTCTTAGTGACTAAAAACCACCCCATTCCTTCTCCTGCACGTCGAGCCGGAGCCCCGGTTACCCGTTAGGTTCTCCGCGACACGCCCTCAGCCATCCCTAGGGTTACCCTAGGGATGTCTCGTAACAGGCGTTGCACCGTGAGTGCTCCGGAGCAGGTCTCTTTTAGAGCACCCGGTGCCTCCATACAGGTGTTGAGGGTTGTTTTAGTGCGATAAAAATCCCATACTCCCTAGTATTTTATTAACCGACTTCAAAAAAAGGAGGAGGTTCTCAATTCGACCGTATATATGCTTTTTTTTTTCCCCAAAAAGTTAGGCGCCTATTGAAGGTTTCCCCCCGTCATCAAAAAAACACAAATAAGGTAAGTCAAAGGTGCATTTAATCTTTAGACACATGCGATTTTCGATGCCTCTCTATAACCTGTGACATGTAGACAAGCGCTAAGTGGCATTTGGCTACAGCTGCTGGGCCTTTAGCCAAACGCCACTTTAGCGCTTGTCTATAGAGAGAGTAGAAAACTAAATGTATGGGGATGACACTGACAAGTGTCAAAATTTACGTCAATTCTATAATATAATTTGGTTTTCTATTCTACATGTAGACAAGCGATGAATAGCATTTGGCTACAGCCGCTGGGTACTTGCGATTACCATTCATAGTCAATCTCCCATCCGTAGTCAATCGGCCACTGGACATTGTATTTCTTGTGCATATTTTTATATATTTCGGAGTAATTCATTTTCCCTGTAACATTTGCAAGGAACGTTTCACGTATTTGTTTATATATCTTCCTTTTCATTTTTCTATTCTTGTCTCGTTTCTTTGCCATTACGTCGAGGACATCTTTAAATGTTTTTAATCTTTCCAAGTCCTCTTGGCTCGGCCCTTCTTTATTTTCTTCGCCTTTAACTTGAACTGACGAAATTGCCGCTGATTCCATGCCTAGAAATGAATTAAAATGTTATATTTCAAACTTATAAATAATTACATACACTAGCGGACCCAACAGACGTTGTCCTGCATATCCACTTGAATGTATAAACAAAAATTCATTCAAATTAGATCAGCTGTTTAGGATAAAATATCTAAACATCGACTGCAGCGCCATCTGCCGGCCTGATTTGTGAATCTAAACCATTTCCAGATCCCCTTGAACACACACAAAAAATTTCATCAAAATCGGTCCAGTCGTTTGAGAGAAGTTCAGTGACACACTCACAGAACACTCACAAAAAAATAAACATTCAACCCATCAACATAAAAACGGGATTGCTAGTACGAAGTCGCCCAGCATTTACACTTGCGACCACTCAACTAAAGGCAATAAAAATAATACCTTTGGGTCGTATTTGCTCGGTTATGAAGAATTCTGGATCGATTTGCCATTTTTTAGGTGTCTCGTGCATCATTCTGACTAAATGGTAGATTTCAAAGTACAATCTCTGAGCCCACTCAACCCTTTTCAGTGTATGGAAGAAAGTATCTGAGTTGTATACGAAAACCCTTTGGCTAGTTTCCACCAGTTTTCTGTACCTGAAATTCGATTATTAAAGAACAAATCTGTGAGTGTGGGAGGGCCATTGCATCCGTATTGCGTGGATATTGAATGAACCATTTAGTTCAGGGTCAACGGTGTCGCACCACACACTTCCCATCTGTTAGAAGTGCCGGGCCCGTTCCCTTGAGCGGTGCACTACTTACTATAAACAAAGTTGTTTTATTATAAATTTCCATATTCAAATCATTGAACACCACACTGTTTTAGTATTGAGTTCAATTTTATATTCTATACTCTAAATGCTATTTTAACAGCTACGATATGGGTTGTATAGTTTTGATATTGAATAATTATTGAGTTTTCAATGGTTTGCAATTGCATTGACATTGAGATTGGTTTCAAGAGTAAGCACCAAGGTTTGAGCATTAATCACCACACTTGCTCAATGCGGGTTGGTGATTACAAACTTATAATTAGAAATTATAAGTCCAGGTTTCCTCACGATGTTTTCCTTTACCGTTTGTCAGTGGTGTCTAAATAATCCTAGAAAGTATACAGGGTGGAATTTTGTAATTCCAACAGTAGAGGAAGTACTCTTAATACTTCAGATAGAAAATTTTACTCAAAGAACATTCCTTTATTTTTGAAAAGAAACAAAACTGCATTGAAAGGTTTTTAAAAATTAGCTTGCCTCACACGGTGATCAAACCGTCTAAAATCTGTCAAAGTATACACTCTGTACTTTTGTTGTAATATAATAAAAAACGTGTCTAATATTTTTGACTGCCTCGTTGGCCGAGTGGTCGGAAGTGCGACTGTCGGGCAAGGGGTCTCGGGTTCGATTCCCGGGTCGGGCAAAGTCTTACTGGGTTTTAAAAAAATCTCAGTAGTAGCACGGAGTCTGGAATTGTGCCTGGTATATGGCAATAGGCTCACCCCCTATTACATGGGACTCATAACATAAATAGTGAAAAGTGGGTGTTACATTGTACAGTGGCATAATGTGCACCTCTGCCTACCCCTTCGGGGATAAAACTTTTTTCATTATCTGACGGACTAATTACATTTTTGATTTTGATACCCTGTCTACTACCCTATCGTCAGCCCTGGGCACGGGACCCAAACGCCCATAAGGTAAAGACGGCACTGGTACTCCAAACTGGAGTTCGCCTTCCGTATAAACATTACAGCTAAACAGAAGGCACGCATATATGACCAGTGTATACTACCGGTACTCACATACGGGGCCGAGACCTGGGTGTTTACAAAGGACATTCTCCAAAAACTCCAAGTAGCCCAAAGAGCAGTAGAAAGGAAGCTGGTAGGCTTTACGCTGAGAGACCGCAAAAGAAACCAGTGGCTAAGACAGAAGAGTAAAGTCAAGGACGTCACACAGCATATCGCGAAACTTAAGTGGGAGTGGGCTGGCCACATTGCACGCAAACAGGGTTCGTGGTGCAAAACCGTGATAGAGTGGAGACCGTGGGGCGAAAAACGCCCACAAGGAAGACCCCAGATGCGTTGGTACGATGACATCAATCGAACAGCTGGCACGAAATGGATAGAAATTGCTCAAGACCGAAAGAGATGGCAGACACTGAAGGAGCCCTAATGGGTAGAAAAGAAAAAGGCTAAAGAAGAAGAAGTATTAAATTTGTTGTCCTCAAGGTTATTTTCTTTTTCCGTCTCCTTGACCAAATATTGGTATTACATTGTTCTCACATTATTGAATTCAACGAAAGAATGTAACCAAAAATTGTATTGTGAACATGATTAAAAAGAGTAACCTATGGAGTTTCTTGCTCGTTCTTCTCCATAGAAATCTACACTTTGGAATGAGCAAATAGAGCAACTAGAGGACTGACCTACAGACTGATATTTTTTCTTATTATTTAATATTTAAATTTTTTGTTTTGATGTTCAAAAGTGCCTTACTGGTCTAATTGAAATAAAGAAAGAAAGAAAGAAAGAAGAAGAAGAGGTTAATTGACCAACCTTTCAAGGAGTTCTGATACTACGTATCCTTGTTCATAATACGGGCTCTCTTCGTACATGAACCTCATAGGATTCAGTGCAGCAACTCGGGCATGGTTTTCTTCATAATATGAACGCATTAACTGCAGAATCCTCGTGGGAGCTTCGTTAGCATTTTTCTCTTCATGATACTTCTCCCAATAGTAAGTTTGTTTACTTTGAGCCTTTTCAATATCTGTAATTACATATAGTCTTATACACTTTACGGCCTGACCAATCAGCGGTGCGAACGGTGGAAACCACGGAAAGCGGCGTGTGCCGCCGCGACCACAGAGCATGTTGAATTTCTGACAATTTCGTAACCGATTTTAGCCAACCTCATAAAAAATTAAAGCTGACTAACAATAAGATCCTAATAAACTTTCGTTTCCGTGAATGTTGGCTACCACATGTTACAGACTCCATTCAAAAAAATATTAGTTCAAAGTTTCAGAAGACTGGCGCCATACTGATTCATTCACATCGCATCACACCCGTGCGTTTCCCCCGCCCAATTCGAAGCAGGTCTACCGAAACTTCCGTGTCCGGTAAGCACCTGCGTCAGGCGGTAGGTGAGGACGCCGTAACGTCTCTCAAGCCACTCCTCAAAGAGGGGACTTACCGCTGCAATGGCAGCGATCCCAGCCCTCGGTTGCGACAGTCGCTGCTGCCATTCCGCCATGAGATCGCGCCGGAGCTCAGATCGCGCCGGACCTCAACGCCAATTGCTACGATTCCTACATACCTCTTTCGCTTCATCAACAGTCATCAATCTTTTCATGCATGCTCGTCGGTTAAGGGTATTTTTAATTTAGAAAAACAATAATAGTCCTAAGTACTTACAATATAAAAATACAATGAATTTCAATAGGATTAACATGTTTTTTTTTCGAAATTATTAATACAATACTTCAAAGTATAGGCAATGTAGTAAAACTATAATTATTTTGTTAAGTAATTACAAAACCCTAATAAGTATATGGTTATAGCTAATTATACTTTGAGTAATCGAACTGTTTTAATTACTTTTCCTAAGTTCGTGATGTTTTATAACATAACATAACATCACGCCTTTTTATCCCCAAAGGGGTAGGCAGAGGTGCACATTAAGGCACTTAATGCCACTGTACAATGTAACTCCCACTTTTCGAGTGATTTGACAGGGGGGTCAATATTTGGGCAAGCGATTTTCCAAGGTTTCACTAAACATGGTACATCAAAATTAACCAGTGATTGAGAAAGAATTTTCCTGGTTAATTCTTCAGTACCATGGGCGAAAGATATGAAAGACGGTAGGCTTACACTGAAAATTTTATGGACGCCAAGCCCACCCATGCGGACAGGCAGAGTAGCTTATGTCCAAGCCCCTAAATTAACAAAATCGCGAGTTACTCACGTGAATATAACTACTGAGAAAAGCTCTACTAGTTAATTTAGTATGTCTCACGATAGTTATTATAAAAACATTACTATTCCTGTTGATATTTGAGAACGCATTATATTGTTCTGTTGGAAATAATTGTAATTGTTAGGTTGGCAACATTTTTTATTATCTCTCCCGCGTTTTTCTCTGATAGATTGTTTTATCTAAAAGTCTTGTTCAATAAAACTATATTTTTCTGCATTCTAAATAGTTTAATTTAATAATCAACAATTCCTATATAATCAATTTATACTTACTTTTATATGCTGACTTCCAAGTCTGAATGTTTTGTATGGATGCTCCACCACTCGTAGACTATGCTGCCGTGGTTTTGTGTCCAGCAGCCAATGGAAGGAAACTGTTGCTTTGTGAATTGTGGGTACGCCTCAAAGTGAACGAGAGCTCAGTACGGCTGTCACTAAAATAATACCCTATCTGGTTTGACCACAGATTATAATGTTCTGTGGGTTTGACAGCAAAAAATATTTACCAACCCTCAGTTCGTTTAAAAAAAATAGAAGATGTAGAAATTAAGTCACTTTTATAATAACGTAGTTTCCAGGGTATTAAAATTAAAAATCAGGGTATTAAAGTTAGATAATGAAAAAATATTAGACGCGTATTTTTTTATTTTCTCGTATTAAGTTGCAATGCTTAGATAAAATGGCGCTAAGTAAAAGTACATAGAGTAGGTACTTTCCAAGATTATTTAGTCACCACTGACAAACGGTGAATAAAAACATCGTGAGGAAACCTGGACTTCATAATTTATAAGTTTGAAATCGCCAGCCCGCATTGAGCAAGCGTGGTGATTAATGCTCAAACCTTCTCTGTGTGAGAAGAGGCCTTTGGTCAGCAGTGGGCATTTATAAATCTTTAGTGTCCGTCAGAATTAATGGTCACTAGGCTTATTTAACGTTGATTTTTTTTTTATTATTATTTAACACTTTATGTACAACTGTATACAATGGCGGACTTAATGCCGAATGGCATATTTATCCTTATCCTTACTAATATTATAAATCTGAAAGTGAGTTTGTTTGTTTGTTTGTTTGTTCCACCTTCACGCCGTAACTACTCAACCGATTGCTTTAAATTTTTGCAGACGTAAAGTTAGAAGTCCGGATTAAATAATAGGGTACTTTTTATCCCGGAAAAATGTGATATTCCCGAGGGAAAACAAAAGTATTGGTATAGATGGCGCTGTGTGTATTGGTATATGTCACATAGGCTACTTTTTGTTCTTTTGTGACGCGAGCGAAGCCGCGAGTAAAAGCTAGTGTCCAATAAATGCTTCCCTATTGCTTCTAGTTGCTTCTTATTCTCAAACACTTGCTTCCATGGGATTCTAGAAGAAAAAAAACATTTTAAGGGTGACCTTTCATTCTGATGGCAGCACGGCCGGTCACCGAGTCATAGCGACCTTGATAAATAGATATTGAAATTCACGGTGGCCATTAATTACTTCACGTTTGCTTCTCTCAATGTTTTACGACGACTTTATTGTAACTATCACGCCATCAAAGATTGTTGACAACAAAAGTGTTGTTTATTAATATTTTTAGCGCCTGATAACAAAAAAAGCAAAACTCTTATTTAACATTGCAGTTATGCTTGTGTAGGCGATAAATCTATCGTATTGTAGGCACTGGTGCCTTATAGCTAATAAGTATTATGTTATTAAAAAGAAGTCCCAATCGTATACAAGGTGTAGTTTTGAAGCCGTGTCATTTCTCGGGAGCATGTCACAGAAGTTATAAAGGTTCAATGTAAGAGAAATTTTCGGGTCAATAGCTAAAAATACGGCTATAATAAATCGTTTAAGTTCGACAGTATTTCAGAAAAAGCGACAACAATGCTTCTTATTGGAGTTTTATGGAATCAGGAATAATATCAATTACGTGTTTGAGTTTGTGTGTATTAAGCCACGTTATAAAGCTAGTTATAAGACTGCGGCGTGTAGTTCGCACTTACGGATTTCCGTAATTTACAGAAAAATGAAAAATATTTACCTACAATATTTTTTTATTGATTCGGACTCAGAATCGATAGCCGAGTTACCTCCTAGAAAATGACGCGGCTTTAAAACAACACCTTGTATATTGACAAAAATTCAGAAAAATGTAATAATAATGACAGCACGATTGGTGCTGTGTCTGGGAATCTGGCTGACGCATTCTGAATTCAACTCTTTGTGGGATCCACAAATTGTTGTTTCGAGTCTTCTTTTTTGATGGGGAAAAATCATCCAATGTCCTCCCGCCTTGGATTAGTCTAGAGGGAGTGTGAGACTCTTACTGACTAAAACCACCCCGTTCCTACTCCTGCACTTCGAGCCGGAGCCTCAGTAACCCGTTTCGGATTCATCGTTTGGGCTTTCCGCAGGTTTATATCAGGCGTCAGCCCTACTGGGCCCCAACTGTCGTGGTCTAATGGTTCTTTAAGGCGCGCGCGTAATTGTTTCAGGTCTAGATGAGTAAATTTATTGTAAAGCAATACTTTTGTTTTCCCTCGGGAATATCAATTTTTCCGGGATAAAAAGTACCCTATTATTTAATCCAGACTTGTAACTTTACGTCTGCAAAAATTCAAAGCAATCGGTTTAGTAGTTACGGCGTGAAAGCGGAACAAACAAACAAACTCACTTTCCGATTTATAATATTAGTAAGGATTACGTTTTAAAACTACGTTTATGAAAACTGACTCCAATCTCCGGTTATTTTTAAATCGGTTAATTAATTTACTTATTAAACCTTCTCCTAAGTGTAACAGTTTTCTGAAAACGTGTGCGTTACCCAGGCCAGATGTTGTCGAAAATGGTCATTTGAATCTTATAGTTGTCCGGCTTCTGTAATTGTTGCGCACATTTTTAAATTTGTTGCGCTTATAGTTTTTTAATTATTTCACAAAAACATTCCCTGCTGGGGTAACGTTACCCCAGCCAGACCTTTATATTTCTAATGGGAATATTTAAATAATTACTAGCTATAAAATTATGTGTCTAGATGAAGTAAATGTTGTGCCTTGTTTTGTATTTGTTCTTTCATCGGTTCTGAAGTTATTCGAAATTTTGCTGGGGTAACGTTTTTGATTTTGCTAGATCTTTGAAATGGTTAAGCGGATTCTTATCATATCTGGTACATGGCTTTTTATTAATTAGTTCAAATTTGTTGTGCAATAAAAAACCCAAAATAATAAATAGCTTAAAAGTTATTTCATTAAATAAAAAAAACACTTAAATTGGTCCCAGCACTCTCAATAAGAGCTCTAAAGACTTACTTTAAACGTTATTTATATATGGAATAATTAGATAATCACGCACAAACATTTTTGCAGTCGGTTAAAATGCAAATAAAAAACTGCGTTTAAAAAAACCAACTTCAAAAACAAAAGCAAAAAAAAAACTAAAAAGCAAAAAATAACTATTATTGGTCTTACGTACTTACATATAGCTTACACACCCACTGATAGGTGAGAAGTCGGTGCCACAAGTTTTACAAAATTATTCATTAAAACCTTATCTAATAGCTACCTAACATTATTAAGCTGTTTACAATTTCATTGTGGATTAAGTGGCACCGACTTCTAACCTATCAGTGGGTGTGTAAGCTATATGTAAGTACCTACGTAAGACCAATAATAGTTATTTTTTGCTTTTTAGTTTTTACTTTTTGTTTGTTTTTGTTTTTGAAGTTGGTTTTTTTAAACGCAGTTTTTTATTTTTATTTTATACTTTTTAATAGGCAAATGTCATGGGTAAACATTTATTGCTTATTAAAATACACTGATTGATACATCATTCACACAAAACTCGAATACAGAGTAATATAGGAAAATTCAAGACAAAAAAAGATGGCGACGCGACTTAGAGCCGCGGAGGATTTTTCAACACGTCCGTACGCGTCAGTGGTCGGGGCTCTCTGATCTCTAGGCTTGTGTAGTTCGCGAACGAACTAGTTCAAAAGAGCGCTCCCACATTCAAAATATGCGAACTAGTTCACTTCATTCCCAACTCTTAGTTCCCACAGACCTACTATAATATGGACCAGAAGTAATGATCTATAGCTTATTTGCTTATACAAATATATATCAAATCGATATAGAAATATGAAACCACACTTTGTCTCTTTTTAATCAATGAGTTTCCTCATTTGAAGAAAGAGACGTCATGTTGTTTGTTTATTCTCTGCCTGGCAACATTTCTATATTTCTGACAAGGTACCTACCTCGCGTGCCAGCCGCCATCTTTAGGCCGCATAGTTTTGTAGTACATCAGGTGTCAAGCAAACAAAAACATTAGATTTGGATTGCGATTTTTAACAATAAAAACGCTCCCAACTTATTTGTTTTGTGCTGTGAGTGTCTAGTGGTGCATATTTAATATGTCTACTTGTTCAATAATTCAGTGTGGGGCAAGGAAAAACCCCAATCAACCTCATTTGACTATGCACAGGTTA